TGTTTTTACTCATCCGCACCATTTATCATTTGACTCTGCGACGCTATTGCATCATTACCGGTTTCAACGATTACTGCGGACTCCTTACCAAGCCGAGCGGTCAGCCAAGGATGAATTCTGGCTGCCAACCGTCTGCGAATAATAGAGTTCAAAATCGGTCTGTACGATGCATAGCCGACTAGCACTACTGTGCAACAGGGCTACGGCAGTGTTCCAGGACTTGGTGGGTTTTCTTCTGGCAAGCGCTCTCCCTATAAAGAGCCATGCATGTACGCTTAACAACACTGTAACGTGCCAGATGTGGCTGGCCATTGAATAAAGTCACAGCTGAACATTTTACACTGACGCAGTCCTCAGACTTCTACATACAACCTGTTCAACTGACTTTTCTGTGAAGAGAGTTTGATGGAGCACAGATCATTACATTTCTTAATGACCAATGATTGCACCAACACCTTGTTTGGGTTCTTGTGCTCATGGATTACTACCTGACGAAACCACGCACAACTTTTATGTTGACACAACAGTTACGACTGGTTTTTACACTCCGCAGCGCCATCATATTCCTTGATCTGACTATTACATGACAAAATGCCCACTCGTATAGACTACATCTTTTGGTTGTACCGTTCATTAACACGAAAGGATTTACTATTTCATAGTGGCTATGGTTGTATGCATATTTGATCGTGCCTTCACAGGTGTGGCACGTTTCACCGAGCGCATACCATTTATTTATTTATTTTAGTCACTTAATTCATGCTCTCTAACACTGGCGTGTAAGCTAGCCGTGTGCCTGAGACCCCTGTCACACCGGCTAGCTGGAAATCGATCTATTACGAACTACTTCTAGCCTTATCTCGGTCCTCAGTTCAAAAGTTATCCTTTAGGTGGAACCATCGCTCTCCCTGCGTAATGGGTAGAAGTAAGTGGAAAACTAGTTCGTACTTCCTGCGTATCTTGCGTTTCCTGGTTTATACTATTATTCATTTGTGCTGTCTGGTGAACTAGGATAGCTTTCACCAAAATATACACTGGCGTGAAAGCATGTGGGACATTAAAGTCTTGTGTTGCGTCTATGTCGGCCAAAATAAACTTCCAGCCTTATGCAGAAACAGCTCCAGAAGAGCAAACAGTTGTAAAGTGGTGCCTCCCAACACATGGTGCACAAGGTTGATTTAGTCTGGAAAACCATAACCATAGAAAACAAAGTTCTAGACGCCCTACCAATGTAGGCTCTAGCGAAGTACACGTTTAGAAGCATTCTGCCATGTTTTGGATCCATATTCTCTTATTCTTGACCATAGACGTGTGTCGCTTCTTGGTAGTAACTGCCCATGTATAGGGCTAGATTAAATGGGCTAAAAGTGAAAATTATGCGAAATTTGTCTAATAAATTGCTGGTGTTTACAGGCTCCTTCGAGTCAAATGGACGCTGAGCTGTCCAGGCTTATCCCAGCAGACCAGAGTCAGGTAGCCTCTGGACATCATTCACAACCGCTTAAAGTGAAACCATGTAGGTTTTACTTATACAGACGTTGCTTCTACCAACTGGCCTCTGAAAGCGACACACGGAGGCTTTTGACCATGGTCTAATTACAAAGAGTTATATAACTTTGCGCAGGTAAAACAGTCTATAGTGCTTTACGAGGGTTTTCCGGTTTATTTTTCATATATTGGTATAGGTTTTATTACGTACGCTTGGAAGTGTGTTTTGCGACCATTGCGTCGTACACTGTGACTACGGCTACTTTGAAGCTTAATGTACCTTTCCAGATACGCAGCCTAATTGACTACTTGTAACACTGCACACCTTTTTATAACTTTGCCTATCCTCATTGTATATGCTTGAAGTTATTCGGTATTGATAGCAAGGTTTCTGGGCACTGTCTTGGCAGCCGTTCCAGAACTCGGGAAATACTACAAATATTGCGGTAATTTTACTTTTATCGTGTACAACGCTCAAGCAATGTCCTGCCTAAGATCTCCAAGGTTCAGTTAGTAATATATACGCCACAAAACTGGCTTTTAATTTTGGCTGCAAATAAACCATTTGCGTTTGGCCCTCAAAGTCATCCGTTAATCAGATAATTTGTTATATTCTACCTTTATGCTTTCCAGTGAAGTAAGCCGAATTGCCGTCTGCATTTAGAAATTGTTTATTAAAAGGTTATTTATTTATTTTTACTAGGAGACATTACAAATCTCTTTATTAACATTGCTGATGCCACCGCATTTCTTTCTTTTCATGTACCCACTATTTATCGGGGCCCGTAAGCTAAAAAACAGGTCTAATGGAGCTGAAAGGGATATCGTTGATAGTCAGTTCCTACAGCAATCGTGCGGCGTTCGCACCCAACGAGTACATAAACTCGACTCCATTATTACTCATTCAAGTGCATGTGGTAACTGTACATTATGTTCTGAGCATAAGTTCTAGCGAAGTCTAGAAATGTACCTTTATTTATCTCTTTAAACGCGGACACAAAAGCAACCTGTGACGACTAAGCGATAGCTCAGCCTCTACGGGTTGCCTGCAGCAATGGCTAACCCATTTCTGCCCAAACAGACCAACCGTTGGCGCAACCTGTCTTTAGACTGGCAGCTGCACACATCCGATGCCATTGCTCAGGTAGGATACCGTAGGTTCATAACAAACCTTTCCGCACAGGCAAACTTTATTCACTACTTCCTAGCTTCACCTTCACCCATTCGTTTTTCACTTATGATTTACAGCTGTCATAACACCCGGGAGATCTCAGCGGGATCAGTCTTACACTGCTTACTGGTGCCAAGAATAGAAAGCTGTGTACACAATCTATCTAGCCATTGCTGATTAGTTTCTGACCGTCTCCAATTTCCTTCCCCGGGACTTCGGTCTAAAGCTTGCACGGATCAACCGGCAGCTCAAAACTCACAACGTCGATTTTCACTGGCCGCGTTATCACTGCTCGAACAGATAAACAAGTAGTACATACTAACTCGATCAAGAGGTAGATTTGCAACTTCCATAGCACTGCTCAAATCTGAAAGCAGTAAAGAAGCTATCCCAACAGGCAAGCCGTTCCAAACCTCTTGCAAAACCTGCATACTTCCTCTTCATCTCTGCGTATTACCACTTTTCAGCTACTTAGAAAACTGGGTCCGTGAAAAAGGTGTCAATGATATGACCTTTAAGATACGCCTAGTAGGCCTTTTACCAGACCTAAGCTTCTTATTAGGCCACAGAATCTATAGTTTCTATCGACACACACAGGGCACCTAAAGATATCACTAGAACTATCCAAGACTTCGTCGTGTAAAGGCCTGCTTTAGCTGTACTTTTGTGAAGCATTGTAACCGTCAAGTATTTTTGTTTTTAGTTGATGCTTTTCTTTAAGCCTAAGCACTGGCTACTTTATTGTGCTGTTTTCAATCGCAACAGGGATAAGAAAATATTGCGTACATATATACCGGTTGGGCGCCAAGGTTACCACTGTAAGAGCCACCGTATGATATTCAGATATTTTGCTCTCTACTTGTCTTCTCTTGGCTCCATAGTTTTAACTAGGTTATACAATTGGCTAACACTATTAGAAACACTAACAGACAGGCATTATAAAACCATATCCATTTCTTTAACCTCTTACTAACAAATCCTTCACCTTTCCAGCTTCCAGTTCACCGGCACGAAGGCTAAACAAGCGACATAAACGTCCCTGTTATCTGGGCTGGTTGGACATGCAGAAACGTTTAACCTGTGGTGTACCGGAAAACCAGCTCTTTCAGTATTTTGTAACATTGAATGTTACGGTTATTTTAACCTTCGAAACGTTCACTTGCTTTACTGACTGCACATCGGTTAACACAAACCGTTCTGGTGAATACCTCGCTGCACATTCCTCGCTCTGTCTGATTCACCTCCTGTTCTTGTAGTCTGCACCATATACGTTGGATTCAGTCTCCTCCGACTTCTATACACTCTAATATTTGACAAGGCTTACGTGTCATTGCCTACCGACTAGTATCCCAAGCTTTGCCCAACAATTGGTGACCCCCTGTCAGGCACACGCCGCCCGCCATTTTGTATTTTCATTCTGGTGGGCTCGTTCCATGCTTTTGTGATTCATTACTTGTGCTCATAGTGTTTTCGCACCTACCACAATTTTTATCTGCTTTTTGCAATGGAGTATCTAGAGCATAAGCGAGCTCCATGCGCGGTTAACGTCGTTAAGCCTTGCATGGCCAATTCTGTTGCGTTAGCCCCTCCCTCTTTTTGAGAGAATGATCATTTATTATAATTTGTGCACCTAGAGTCCGTATTTTATATTCGTAGGATTTCTTCTGGTTTCTTCATGTATAAACAGTTAATATCTTCCCATCCTCAGAGTATATCCCCGCAGGTGAGAGACATCATACTTTGCCCACCTCTAGTAATGAAATACGAGACTCTTAAACAGGCTATAATTAAGCGATTCACGCCTGACAAGTTCCGTCTGCAGCAACTATTTAGTGATCTGTAACTAGGTGATAGGATACCTTCAGCCTTGTTACGCGAAATGCAACAGCTTATCGGCACGTCCAAACTGGACGTAGGGATTCTCCGCGAGCTCTGGATGCAACGCCTTCCTGAAAGCACTCAGGCTGTCCTTGCAGTAGGAAGTGACTTGCCACTCACAGAAGTTGCAGATCTACCATGCCGCGTTCTCGAACGGCATCAGCCAGAGACTAAAACCAAAGCACCTCAGCAGTTTTGTGCTGGCACAACCACACAGAGAAGCGCGACTAGCTAATCGTCGGCAATAGACGCATTATCATTGCAGGTAGTGTCACTTCAGCGCCAGCTTGAGAACCTCACTTTAACCCGTAAGCACCTCAACCGCTCTGGACCATCGCCCAGTCGCACAAAACCTGATGCCACAGGTTACTGCTTTTGCCACTCGCCGTTCGGTAATAAATCCCGTAAGTGCGTGCAGCCGTGTAGCTACTCCGCTATACATGGCCCCCCACATTGGCCTTTAATGACCACGTACGTCGACAAAGCCCAAAGTCGTCTCATCTACATAAGGGATTATGACTCCGAGACCCAGTTCTTAATTGATACTGGGGCTGAAGTCAGCGCCACACACCCTATGCCAGGTGAGCCTACCGCTTCTCTGTCGACAAGCCTCAATGCCGCCAATGACAGGTAAATAGCCACCTACGGTCATCGCTCGCTTACCTTGGACCTAGGTCTTCGGCGCACTTTCCGCTGTGTATTCACTGTCGCTACAGTCCCCTCTTTCATCTCCGGCCTTGACTTTCTCAGGCATTTCGACCTCCTGGTCGATGCGAAATGCCAGATGATAGTCGACGCTGCAGCAAAACTCAGTGTACGTGGCATCACCGCCGATTTCACATATATATCCCCGGTCTATGCATTCCCCAGACCTCACCAGCCTACGCTAATCTCTTTTCTCAGTATTCCAAGCTCGTTCAACCAATGAACGCAGCTTTTCCCGTGGCAGCTCAAGTCACGCACCACATACGGACGAATGGCCCACCTGTTTCATGCCGTCCAGGCCGACTATCGCCCGGAAAACTAATGGTAGCTAGGGCGGAGTTTGAGCACATGCTTGAACTGGGAATACTCCGCCCCTCTGAAAGCCTTTGGTCCTCGCCCCTGCAGATGGTCCCCAAGAAATCTGGTGACTGGCGCCGTTGCGGTGATTACCGCGCACTCAATCGTCTAACCGTCCCAAATAGGTATCCTATCCCACACATGCAGGACCTTACTGCATGCCTCACAGGTAAGACGATCTTCAGCAAGATTGATCTGGTTCGCGCCTATCACCAGATGCCTGTGGAAGACATCGACATTCCTAAAACAGCCGTCACCACTCCTTTCGGTTTGTTTGAATTTTTAAGAATGCCATTTGGACTGCGCAACGCCGCACAAACCTACCATCGCTTCATCCACCATGTCGCCCGTGGCCTAGACATCGGTGCTATTTTAGTAGCCAGTTCACCGGAACAAGAGCACCTCGAGCGTCTTCGAACTCACTTCCAACGCTTGACCCAACACCGTGTAGCAGTCAACCCGGCTAAGCGCGAACTCGGCAAATCAACAGTAGAATTCCTAGGCCACTCGTTTCATCGTCTGGTATCGAAGTCCTTCCTAATAAGGTCCAGACAATCAAGGACTTCCCAGCTACGACTTCGTTCAAGCACCACCGTCGATTTTGTGGTTTGGTCAACTACTATCGACGCTTCATTCCGCGCTGCGCACAGCTCATGCAACCACTGGCTGACTTATTTAGAGGAAATGAACGTAAGTTCGCTTGCCTTGCCACAGCACAGGAAGCCTTCGCCGAGCCCAAGGATGCTATCTCCAACATAGCTATCCTTGCTCAGTCCGAATCGATTGCACCTCTTTCTATTACGGCTGATGCCTCAGATGTCTCGGTAGGAGCCGTCCTCCAACAACATGTCGATGGGCAATGGCAACCCCTTGGGTTCTTCTGCAAGCGCCCGCAGCCAGCGGAATCCCGCTACAGCACGTTTGGCAGAGAATTGCTCGCTATGTACCTAGCGATTCGTCACTTCCGGCACACACTCGAAGGCCGCGCATTCACGGTCCACACTAACCAAAAGCCCCTTATCTTTGCTTTCAACTCTGCTCGCGACAAATACTCACCACGGGAAACAAGACACCGAGACTTTGTCACGCAGTTCACTGCTGACATACGCCATGTCTCAAGTGTCGACAATTCCGTCGCCGGCGCTCTCTCACGCGTCAACCTCACTCTGCAAGCTTTGCCTACCTTCGACCTGGCCGCCATGGCATCGGCTCAGGCTCAGGACGAAGATATACAGCGCACTCTGCAGTCTACTTTGCTGCATGTGCACCCTGTTCCTCTCCAAACCACGGAAGGAACCATTCGCTGTGACACTTCCACAGGTAGTCCTAGACCGCGCGTGCCTCTCTCCTTTAGACGCACAGTCTGACGCACTGCACTCAATATCACATCCCGGTATCCGTGCATCTTTGAAACTGGTTACAGAACGTTTCGTTCGGCCACGCGTAAACAAAGATGTTCGTACCTGGACCCGCGCCTGCCTTTAATGCCAGCGCTCCAAAGTACCTCGTCACACCCGCAGTCCCCTTGGTTCAGTTCCTGCCACGGACTCTCGGATCGCGCATGTACACTTAGACCTGGTAGGTCCATTGCCTCTTTCACGCGGCTTCATATACATTTTCACATGCGTCGACCGCTTCACCGGATGGCCAGAGCCATTCCCGTAGCAGACTGCGCAGCTGAGATTGTTATCCGGGTCTTCTTGGACCGGTGGGTCACGCACTACCGATGCCCCTCCACCATTACAACTGACCGAGGAACGCCTTGCTAATCTTCCCAATTCGATACGTTCTGCAACTTTTTAGGCTGTCGCCGCATTCATACCACAGCGTATCACCCAGCAACCAACGGGTTCATTGAACTTTTTCATAGACAGCTTATAGTCTCGCTTTGCGGCTCCTCCGACCCTAGCTGGAGCGAAAGCGTTCCGCTCGTACTCTTAGGCATTCGCAGCAACATCAAAGCTTACTTGAAATGTGCACCAACATAGCTGGTTTACAGCACAACCCTCAAGTTACCAGGAGAATTCGTTTCGCCTCCCTCATCGTCGGGTATGCCTCCCCTTAACTTTGCGACCTCCCTAGCTCAAAGCATGCGTCCACTACCCCCGACCCCTCCCCGTGAACAGACTAGAGAAGTGCACCTGCACAGCGGACTCGCTACCTGCACCCACGTCTGCCTCCGCACCAATGCAGTGCGGCGCCCTCTCCAGCCTCCCTACACTGACCGTTTCAGAGTTCGGCAACGGGCTCCGAAACATTTTACTCAAAACCAGAATGGTCACGGAACAACAGTGTCCATCGACCGCCTCAAAATGGCTTTCCTTGACGAGCCACTTGCAAACCATCCTGATGCTCTCGCACGAGTACCCGCACCTGTGGTGACTACCCTAGCACTGGATAGCCCGGAACGCTCCGTGACCCTTGACTCGCAACCTATCCCGCCTCAACCCCGGGCAACCGACCGACGCGGTAGACAGGTCAGCCGACCGGCGCGTTTTTCAGATTTTGTAAAAGTTTACTGTTTCCATTAACACGCCTTTTTCGTTTTTAGTGGTTATTGTGCGTCTTGTTCACAAACGTTTTGCAAAATTGACAAAAAACTCAGAACATTTGGAATACCTAAAATGCGTACTTGCTTTTATTATGCATGCCATCTTCTCCCTTCGGCGTCAAACCACTTCGCCGACCCTTGCCCACCCTTGCTGAGTTCAACTTTCCAGAAACGCAACCGCTGGAACTGCCCAGGCAACCCTCGATTGACTCGACAACCGGCTCAGCGCAACCCCCGAGTGACTCGCCAGCCGACCCAAGGCATCCTTCCTCACCCAAGGAACAGACAGTCTCCCTCGGCCGCAGACACCCACGAACGGATTGGTCCCCAAACGCCGCCTGGGCTTTTCCGACGAGGACGCCGGATTTCTTCGTGGGACGAGGACGACCGCATTTCTTCGTGGGACGAGGTCCGTGGACTAAAGTGCGGTTGGGGGAGTGACACCCCCAAGCGCACCGTCGGGTCTGCGGCAAAGGGAAGGTCCTATCGGCCTTTTCTCTGGACCAGCCAGTTTTTTGCAGTCTGACCAGCCCGCCCCGACGGCCCAACGCTGATGCACTCTGGCCCACACGATCATCATAAATAATAACTAATCAAAGCCTGGACCCAGCGAGCCCTGCCACACACCCCACCTTGAACGCCCTTACTCAAGCCCATGCGAAGCTTCACATCCACTTTCAGCTTCCGTTTACCCCTACTAGCAGCTCCATCGAAGACTTCCCTTCTTCAGCCTTCTAGGGGAGGCCCTTGTAGTGTACCGGAAAACAAGCTCCTTCAGTATTTTGTAACATTGGGTTTTACGGTTGTTTTAACCTTCGAAACATCCACTGGTTTGACTGACTGCACATCCGTTGACACAAACCGTTTAGGTGAGTACCTCTCTGCACGTTCCTCGCTCTGTCTAACTCACCTCCTATTCTTGTAGCCTGCACCATATACGCTGGGTTCATTCGCCTCCAACTTCTATACTGTCGTATTTGACACGTCTTACGTGTCATTGCTAACCGACTAGTATCCCAGGTTCCACTCAACAAACCAGCCTTTTGCCCTTTTTGGCCGCTCGTGTGTAATTCTGTCTTTTACCTGGCTCCAAAGCCTACCATGCGTTATGCGTAGTGGTAGCTGAACAACGAGCTTCCAAAAGCTTGCATACTTTCTTTTTCTTTAGTTACCTTAACATGTTTGCTTAGGGTACTAGAAGAGCTCACACCAGACAAACCACAAAGGCAGTAGCTGGTGCAACATCATAGTCCTATTTAACATTGCCACGTCGAAACAAGTACTCCATTCAAACTTTACCTTAGAGCTAAAAAGCTTGAACAAAGCAAAGAAATGCACACTAATGTGTAGCTAGACATGAGCGGCAATAATCCATATGTTCGAGCGAGCTCAGTGACTAGAAGCAGGGGTTTATGTTATACTAAAGGAGACCCAAAATAGCTTCACACCCCAACCCAAGCTGCTAGTTTTTTGGTAATCATTTCTTTATTATTAGCGAGGGGTACATTTTATTCACTGTTATTGCTGCCATACCCTTATGAATATAGAAAATAGGCTCAAAGAGGTAATACTGGCGATAGTTATCTACTTAATACGTACATTTTTCAGGCCTAACTATGCCAAATGATCCTATGGTCTACTATATTATCCGGGTGAACCTGGCGCATGCAGTCCGGCGAATAACTTCCCAACAAATGATTTCTATATTCCTAGTAGTTTACGCGGGTTAGTACTTTCTCGAAATGCTACACTGTGGACTTCTGACTGTGCGCTAATTATAAGTTCTCCTTAAGTTTTGCATATATGACAAAATACAACGCGGTAAATTCGAATATCTTGAATATCCTTGGTTATAAACAAATAAACAGTTTATTCTCGAATTTGTCGAGACACACCAAACCAGGCATGATCAACATTTACATGCAATTATGTTTCGCAACGAACAGGTTGCTATGTATGTAGTTGGCAGAAAGCAGAAAATTGTACAGGCTGCGGAAATTGTAAAAGTAATCAAGAGGAATAAAGTCGTCAATGAATGACGATACGTTGGGTTCTAGCGTGCGTTGTGAAAACAGTTAGGGCACTATATGTTTAGTGAAAACGATACAGGTATGCAGGAAGTATCTTATTCTTAAACGTGTCAGGAAAATATTGATAATGATTCTAGTCGACTAGCCAGTATGTAGCTGTGGGCAGTGACTTTATTCAGTGGCGAGTCACATGCGGGATTCATCCTATCGTTCCAGTCCCACTTGAACTTGAACTGGAACTACTCTCTAAGCTCTGCGGAATTGGCGTGACAGGGAATTTCCTACTATGGATCAGTGACTTCTTGCAATGCCGGAACATGCAAGTCAAAGTAAACGGTACCCTTTCATTCCCCGCGCCTATGTATAGTGGCGTGCCACAAGGCTCCGTTCTCGGACCGGAATTGTTCAAGATATATATCAATGATCTACCAAGTATGCTACAAACGGACTGTCTGATCTATGCAGACGATCTCAAGCTATGGTCGGAAGTGTCCAGCCTCGAAGACGCCGACCAATTACAGGAAACGTTTGATCTACTACACTCTTGGTCTATCAAGTGGGGTTTGCCGGTCAACAAAGATAAATGCTCAGTCCTTTCTATAGGTGCTGCTGAACCACTGGGCATCTATCACATTGGCGGGCACCTACTCAAGATTGCCACACAGGAAAAGGACCTGGGGACAATAATCTCCTCTGATCTCCAAACGACCCTTGAAACGTTAAAGAAAACTGCTGCGGCGAACAGGATGTGGGGCGCCATAAGGAGATCATTCTCTAAAATGACGCCGCAGATATTTAGACTTCTCTTCACCTCCCATATCCGTCCCATTCTTGAATTCGGACATCCGGCCATAGCCCCTTTATCTAAACATGAAAATGACAAGATAGAAAAAATTCAGCGACGGGCCTCGAAATTTGTCCTTGGGCTACGCAACCTCCCGTACCCCACCCCACTACAGAGGATGAACCTTTTTCCCTTAGACTATCGCCGACGTCGCGGAGACCTTATCTATACCAGGCACATCCTACGAGGAGAACTGGGAAACGAGCTAAGGCAGTTCTTTCAGCTAAGACTTGGCAGCTCGACTCGAGGTCACAGCTGGAAGCTTTTTAAACCGAGGAGGCTCAAAGTCCGCTCAGATGTTGCTCTCTCTACTCGAGTAATTAATGATTGGAACCGACTGCCGGACCCGATTGTCAATGCGCAATCAGAAGCGAGTTTCAAACGTTTGCTAGACATCTTCCTACTGAGTACTCCAGGATCCTGCAGGGCTGATATTACATCCTGAGCCATGACAGCCAACTCGCCTGCAATCCTTGGAAGATCGGGGAAGCGAAGGAGCTGACACGTGACCCCCTTCTGCTCTCTACCACTCAATGAACCCAATGAATGAAATGATAACGTTCAAGGTCACGGCGTGCTTGTCATGTTTCACCGTTCGAGATTTTCTTCATTGAAATCCTTGTTTGAGAACAGTAGTTGAATATCACTACATACAAAATTTGGCTTTGTCAGTATTCTTGTGATCCGAAAGTACTTGGAGGTGCCAACATAATCTGAATCTCTTGTGTGCCCTCCCTTGTCACGGCGTGGTTGTCGTGTTTCTCCGCTTGAGTTTTCCTTCTCGGAAGCCTTTTGTGGAAACACTGTTAAATAACTCTGAGCATAAACGGTCCAGTGTACCAGCTTTTGAAGATCTTAAATTGTTTACCTACTGTTCGTGGTTTTTTCATCGAAATATTGGCCTCTGTTTGAAGACTTCAAAGCAAAACATTCCGGCCTTTGTCGATATCTCATCGATCGAGTACAAAAATGGGGTTGATATTCGTTCGCACGAAGCTGATCAATCCCTTGTTCCTGCAGTCTCTCCCAGCTCCATCGGAGAACAGCTTTTGGAGGTTATTATGCAGAAAAGCCGGTTTTGGTCTTCGTTGCTACACTTATTGTTCTGGTGAATCCAAATCTGGGCATTCAACGTGTTGAACACGGTCTGCCGAAACTCGCGTGGGACGACTGGGCGCGGCGTGCCCAGAAATAATTCGCAAAGTATAGTTCCGTCTGATGATGTCAGCAGAACGGGTTATATGTCCAGTGAAGGGGACCTGCATAGTAGATCAACCTCAGGATCGTTGAGTTGCGCTGTGGCCATGGCTGCCAAGTCGATAGCAGTGCCGGCGTCAGCGGAGACAGCTTGGATTCGGGAAAGTGCATCGGCGACGGCGTTGTGCCCACCTGAGACATGCCGTATATCTGTCGTAGACCGAGCGATATAGTCAAGGTGGCTTGACTCTCTACAAAAGACGCAACGGACAAGAGCAAGCCAAAGAGAAATGCCATGAAAATGCACACAAAGAAATGAATGGGATGCAACAGAACGCTGAAAGTTGAAACGCTATGCACACTGTGGATTTGTCGTTATATATGTTACATAAACGTGTTATTCGTGTGAATAAAGGACGGGAAAACGTAGAAGTGGGGTTTGTGACCCGTTTGCAGTTGTTTACAACCATCGCGCTGCGTCGCGCGAGGTTATGAATTCTAACAGTTGCGAGTTGAAGGTAGCACAGGCAAGTTAAGTGAGGGCAGGCCAGTAACAAGTTAGGCCGCGGATACGGGCAACTAATTAATGAACGTCCGTAACTACACAACTAGCGCCTTGCTTTGAGGTAATAAGAAGGCAGTAGCAAGTGGAGCGCAGATGTAAGGTAAAGACCAGAGACGAGGGAGGCTGGTAAGTGAAGTTTAGTTAGTGAATAAATAGCAGTCTGAACGGCCACTTGTAGCAAATATCTTAATCCGGAGAGCCTGACACATGGAACGTGAACGTAGATGTTGAAAGACCAGTGCGCTGCGTCACGCGGTGTAGTAAAGTCCTGGATGACGGGGATAAGAGGTAACGTTGTTTGAGAAGTGAGCGGACAGCAAGCTATATTGTATAAGGGCTACGTATATGTCAATAATTCCGTGGTCACGGCTCTGCATTGCAAGTTATTAAATCTAACATGGCAGCCAAAGGAGGCCAGAAACGATTAGGAAATTAATGTAACACAGTAGTATGTTTAGCGCAAAGTATGGTAAAGACTAACGGTAGTGAATGTAGGTAAGTGCAAGGTTAGGTGAAGAAAAGGTAGCAAAATTTTGAGCGACCGTATACGGTCGAGCTAATTATCCAAAGAGCAAAGAAATAGGAAGTGAACGACAGAACCTACAAGGGTACGGCGCACTGTCCCACTGTATAGGTGTCGTTAGGGTTCACCAAAGGAAGTCAGCTAACACCAATTTGAAGCTGAGAGCCGATAGGGGTGGTGAACACATTACAGCGGCGTGATAGACTTTACTGTAGCGCTAAGTGGACTTCAGTACCTGGGTAGTTAGGGGCTGTATCGCCCGCTATTAGTAAGTCTAATAAG